CCAGTAAATCCCACAGGGAATGGCCAAGTTCACTGTGGATCCTTGGCAAATAGCCTGCCACGGAGAGCAGGCCGAGCTACATACAGAGGCCAGGAGGCAGGCCGTGCAGTGGCCAGCCTGGGGTTGCCTCTGAGCTGCAGGTCAGCCCGACCTCTCTGGCTTCCAGCTCTGGCTGAAGGACAGAGGGCCTAGGCGTCTACTTTTGCCGATGTGGTGGCACCGCTGGTTTCCACTATGTCCCCATCCCTGGGGCTAAGTGAAGTACCCGGCTCTGGGAGCAGTGGCCTGGGCAGAGGGGTTGGGGCCCGGCCCCCGCTCTACAGACATGTCCATCCCCCCTCTCAGCCCACAGACTGAGGGCATCTGCCCCCCATACTTTGAGAACTGCCTGTGTCAAGGGGACTGAAGGTTCCTAGAATGTCGGCCTGGATCTGCCTCCAGTGGTGAACTTCACCTTGGCTGGGTAGTTACCCATTTCTGTCTGTTCCCAGGCAGCAGGGCTGGGACACCAGCTGTGGTCACAGAGGGGAGGGAAGGCACAGAGGGCTCAGATTTTGACATTCCTTTCCGTCGTAAAAGCCTTGTTTGTTGACCTGTCAACTTTGGGCCTGTTTGTGAACTCAAAGCTCCGTGTGATGTTTTTCAGTTTTTAGCTTGTTTTCCATTTTGTTTTGTTTTCCCCAGTCCTGAACTACCAGTAAGAGACAAATGGTGTTAACCTGGGTGCTGTAGCCATAGTTGAAACTGCTGCCATCAGTCCTCCTTCTTCCTTCCTTAGCCGTAAGTTTTAATTTTTGTGACTTTTTCTTTCAGCACATGTAAGGGTCCTACAAACTAATTAAACCCAATTTTACTCCTAAATAATAATTTATAAACTGAATTCAAGTCTGAAGTTCCCTGGTCACGTCTTACTTGGCTGTAAGATAATTCCTCTCTCTCCAGAGTATGATGCAGACAATTTCCTCAGGTCATTTCTAACGCAGAGCTGCCCTTCTTTAACGACAGTTGGAAGAGATGACAAGGCTGAGACCAGCATTCATCCCTGTGGTGAGGGATGTGGCAACTCTTGGAGCATCCTCTGAGGTCAGGGGCCAGATGGTGGGTGCCGCTTGTGCCTCTGTGAGCCTCAGGATTTGGGATCCCAGCCCTAGCTCCCACTCTCACCACTGCCTAAGGGCTTATAGGCAGAGGGCTGTACAGAGGTCCGGCTCACCGGTGGTGCCCCTCGGCAGTGCCAGGTCTCCTGTCTGTGCCTGTCATTCCTACCCCCCTGCCTCTAATCTGTGTTTAGCTCCAGAGGCTGTTCAGGCTCTGAATAAAAGCTGGCATCAAGGAGGATATAAGCAAGGGCTCTAAATTTCCTGCATACCAAGGAGAAAGTGGATTTAAAAAAAAATAGACCCAAGTATCAAAATTGAAAAGATGCCTGAGTTAACCCCCAGTGGGGTCAAGTCCAATGATGGGAAAGTTTGTACACCTTATGACAAGTCCCTTCACTTTCGCAACTGAACGGCCCCAGCCTCCAAAACTGTCAGGAAACACAGTGCTCTCATTAATCGCTGCAAGACTTCTCTGGAAACCCGGATTAAGTAGCTCTGTGAAGGGAATCTGCTTATCAAAATACTGATGAATAGGCTGGGTCAAGGGTGAGAGTCAGAGGCAGCCAGTGCTGAAGCATAAACCCCTTGGATTAGAGCGAGTCGCTCAATCTTTCTGCCTATTTTAGCTGCTAAAGCAATTTGCAATCTGGATCTGATGCTCCTTTGATAGTCTTCCTTACCCAGAGTTTTTCCCTGGGCCAGCCACCCCTCAGCTGTGTCACTGGGTAGCTGCCATCAAGACATCTTCTGTGAATTCCTTTCCAACCTGGTAGCTGCAGTCACTCTATTCGGTATATCCAGAGGTCCTCCCCATGTTCCAGAGCTCCTCCGAGAGGAGAGGCAGGTGAGCCAGACCATTCACCAGATACGCTTCGGTGCCTGTTTAGGGTAGATCCTTCTGTCACCCATCGGAGACCTGTTTGGGGAAGAAGCAGGCATGTTTCCATGTGAGAGGACCAGCCTAAAGATAGCCATGGGCCACTTCATTGTTCTCTTGGGGATGGGGGGGCTTTAGAAATGGTGAAAAGTTCCACCACTTTTCTGGATCCATAAGAGATGGACTGGGGGTGATGCCTGGCTGGCTTTCATAGCCTCTGAGTGAGTCTTTGCAGCCATCCATCCAGCTCTCTGCACACGGCGTGCCCTCTGTGTGAACCCTTTCTCCCTGCACCCTCCCCTCCGTGAAGGGTCCTGCTCCTGCTACCTGGCCAGGGCGCCAAAGATGCAAGGAAGTGAAGGGAAGGGAAGAAAACTGCATGCCCTGATCTTGAGGCCGCGGGGGGATCTCCAGCAGAAGAGCTTGGAGCGCCTGAAGGGCAGGCAGTACTCAAAATGAACAGTTGTTGGCCACTTGGATGTAGAGGATGGCATCTTCACTTCTCTCCCCAGTTTTTTTTTTCCCGGATGGATGACTTTGGGGGGAATTTTTTGCAGATAACTAATCCCATTCAGAAATTCTTCTTTGCTTCAGTCATGGCCCTTGTTCACCTGGATGTACAGCCCATTTCCAGCCCTAGTCAGCTCTTACAATTGTTAAATTTTAGTTTCAACTTGGCAGGCAGGGAACCCTGGACTACAGAATGTCCAGTGACACATCCAAGATCCCACAATCAATGGATTGGGAGAGCCAGAATCACTGGGGTCTAATTTATATACAGGGAGATGCACGAATCAGTTTTGACAAATCCATGCACCTGTAGGGCACACATCCCCATCCAGTGAACCAGAATTAGAATCGCTCTCTTGGCCACAAATGCAAGATTATGGAAAGCACAGAACCTGGTGGGATTTCAGCTCCCATGAAGGGGAACTTCGTGTCCCTGCTGTCCCCATTCCCTGAACTGGCACACGGCATTGACCCCTTGCCTTTCCTCTCTTGTCCCATTCCCAGGGCCTGTGTCATTTCTTTGAGGTGGACTTCAGATTTCTACCTGGTGTAGATGGGGTTGTCTAGGAAACCAGAAATAACTGCAGATTCCAGGCTGTGCAATTTGGGTGATCTTTGGCCACTTCTTTAGAGCCACATAATACTGACCTTCTCTGCTTTTCCCCCTACACTTTCCTGCCCTCAGGTTACTGGAAACATCCCTACAGGACCCAGTTTGCTTTCAGCTCCACAGCCAAAGCAGATCTGACCTTCCAGCTTAACTTACAAGCAGGTGGTGGCTGGTAGCTGCAGATGCTGGGTGACATGGGGACGGATGATTCTGTGTCTGGGAATGTGTGTGCCAAGCGGAGGAGGAACGCCTCTGAAATGAAGCTTCTCTTTGACTCATCTTTGTCTTCCAGGAACTGGAGGAGGTGTGCATCTCACACTGCTCACGTCCATTCCACCTTAAGCATTTGCCTTTTAAAAAAAAAAAAATTTTTTTTGCACTCATTGTTTCCTTCCCTCCCACTGTCATTCAGAGTAACTGCAGCTGCAAGCCTGCACTTGGGGTTACCTCTCTGAAAGGGAACTGCTTATCTGCCGTCTGCGTCTGTAGAGCGAGAACACTTGTGTCTACGTCAGCAAAGCTGGGGAATCATGAGACCCCTTGTCTCTAAGGATCTCTATCTGATTCCCTCGCCTGACTCTGAAAATCCAAGACTCCTGACTTGCCTTCAATGCTCCTTTCACAACTAGCTGCCTGTCTTTGTTGAAATCTGTGGTTCTCTGTCCCGGTGCATCTGTGGGTCGCCCCTTGGACTCCCAGCATTTCTAAAGAGGTAGGAGGCAGGCTCGGAGGGAAGAGGAAATGTGGAGAGTTGAGCAGTAACGTGATGGAGAAAATGCATGCCAGGCTGTTGGCAGGGGCTTGCGGGGGGGTGGTGGAGGAGGAGGAGGAGCTGATGGGAGGGGACGGGGGATGAGGGAGGGGAAGGGGAAAGAAATGACTCAGTACTTATGCGCTGAGCTGTGAGCATGTGCTTCAGTGGGAGAATCACTAAGTCCTACCGTGCTTCAGCAGAAACAAGGATTAGAAATCTGGGCTTCTCAGTGTCCCTCTTCGTGTTCTCTCTGGCTGATCTCACCCTGGGGTCTGATGAACGGGTAGGGGAGAATCAAGAGCAGAGAGGTGGTAGGGGTGCGCAGAATGCGTACTAACTGGCAGTTTGGACAGACAGCTGTTTCAGTGTCACTGGCTAGAACCTCAGCTGCGTTTTCATTCCCTTTAGCGGAATTACAAAGGCTCATCTGCGGCCTCCTGTTTCCAGTGGATGCCTGCCTTTTGGTTTTTTGGGCCTTTTCAAGTTCTTGCAGAACTGCCTTTACTGCCCCAATTTGAACGTGTCACTTCTTACCTCCTCAGCTCCAACCTGTTTCTTTATCGTTGACAATGCCACCTCCACCTCCCAGCCACCAAGCTGTGGATTGCTGGATCCATCCTTAAACTCTCTTACCAAATCCTTCCCCAAGCCCCTTAGATGTTTGCTTCGAGGTATCTTTCGGATGTCTTTCTTTCCTTCCCATGGCCAACACCGTGGTCCTGCCCTGGCTACTGGCAGCTGGGCCATTGTAAAAGCTGCCCAATGTTCTTGTCCACCCCTAGCCTACATGGTGTCACCCACAGAAAGCTCAAGTCTTTAAGATTCTCCTTTAATTATGCTAATCTGCTGTTCACACGTCTCCAACTGCTCCCTACCGCTTATTGGATAAAGCCCAGGCTTCTCTGTGTGGGATACAGACCTCTCTGAAATCTGGCCTCCTTCCTCCCTATTGCATTCCCTTCATCTCTGCCTCCCTTACACAACCCCCCTCCGGGGCCAAGAGCCTCCCAGGCTGCTGTCATGGTCTCCCTTCTCCCCCAGATGCCAGCTCTCTTCTTATCCACCTGCCCAACCTTCCCCTCCCCCCCCCCACCCTCCAGCGTGGAACACAAGCCCTTTCCCCATCAGGCCACTGGTCTTCCCCTGACCATGCCGGCTGCCCTCTGGGGCCTCTGGTGGCACTCCCTGCAGGGACCTCTTTTTGACTGCCGACGTGCCCTACTGCTGCTGCTGCTGGGAATCTCGGCTCCTCAGCCGAATCATAAGCCCTCAGCGTAGAGCCCCGAGGTTTGGCATTTATCCGCCCTGGCTCTTGGCCCAGTGCAGCACGCTCACGGGCCTGCACAAATGCTTTTGGAGGGATTGAGGTGTGCTGCTCAAGCAAGGCACAGAGTGACTTTGTACGCTCAGCTACAGCCTGATCCCCAGACGGAGGATGGAGTAAGAGTCTTGTTGGGGGTCATTAGCTAACCAGCCTATGACCGAGGGCGGCATGCGGAGCTCCAGGCTCCACACAGCACCGAGCTCTCCCCACACCCACTCCCCATCTGAGGGGTGTGCTAAGGGGCCGGCAGTTCAGACGCCCTCCCCTCGTAGTTTGGAGTTTCACTCATGTTGCCAAGAACCAGGGTCCTGGCTTTGCCTCAATCTGATTCCGCCTCCCTCCTGGAGGATGTCCTTCTTTTTGCTTGATTCTGGCTGCCAATTTTACTGTTCTGCTGCTTCAGGTCTGTGTGTTCAAGGTGTGCTCACAGGGAAATCTGCCAGGTTCTCACTCCACATGTGACTTCTTCCTCAGAGTAGTAATTTAAGCGATGTGAGCGTTCGGTTTCCAACTGCCGTTGTGCCTGTGGGGCCAAACCCAGCAAGAAACTTCAACTGTGACAGCCAAAATGGGGGAGGTTCGGGGGAGGAAAAAAATCCCCTTAGTGAAAATGTAGAAGGTCCTCTGAAAACACTGGAAAATTCTGGCTAAAGGATTCAGATACATTCAGACCCACTTCTAATTCAAGAACAGCTCTGTAAGAGCAGACAACTAGCAGATCTGCGTCCGGGTGTCTGCTTACTAGGAACACAGTGGCATTCTCCAAGTCCTCACAGGCTTTTGGCCAGCCCAGGAGAAAACTGCAGTGTAAACACTTATGGGGGAGTGGAATAAGGAGGGTGTTCTATGACCAGTGATTGTACCAAAGCCAAATGGAAAGCAAGGAAGAAAGTTCTGCAGATATGGCTGAGGTCAACAGGTTGCTGGCCATACCTTGGAAGCCTTTGTGCTACATTGGTCTTGAGTGTGAAGGTGTTTGTTGTAACAGGGTTTGCTCTGTGCCCTCCCCCGCCAAAGGTTTTTCATCTTATCAAGGGGGAGACTTAAGGAATTCTCTACTCTCATCTGCTAGCATCATCTACTAGAGGCATAGCCGTGTCAGTTTGATTTCTCTTTCTGTTGTAAATCAGGCGTCTTCATGCAGAGGCTCATGAGGGATGTTGAGATATCAATTTCATCTTGGGAAAATATGGAGGCCACTGATACTGGTGGGTCCCCAGAGTCCAGCTGTTGATTTGCAGGCCTTCTTATGTTTTCCTCTTCTTTTTTTAAAGATTTATTTATTTATTTATTTGTTAGAGAGAGAGAGAGAGAGAGAGCACAAGCAGGGGGTGCAGCAGCAATTGGGAGAAGCAGGCTCCCCATTGAGCAAGGAGCCTGATGTGGGGCTCGATCCCAGGACCCTGGGATCATGACCTGAGCCGAAGGCAGACGCTTAACTGACTGAGCCACCCAGGCACCCCTAAATAATCCCAGTGTTTGAAAGGACCTCAGAGCCCATGTAGTTCAACTTTCCACAAGGTAAAGAGATGCCCAGTTTCATAATGTGTGACTATCTAGCCCTGTTTGACCCCTCTCGGCAGTGGGGGTTTCACTTTGAGCTATCTATTCTGCTGCTTCTAATTACTAAAATGGACTTCCTTTTTTAAACATGAACGGGCAGTTCACAAGAGAGGCAATACAAATGAAAAACTATTCAATATCCCTGGTAATTAAAGAAAGGCAAATTAAAACAATGAGATGTTCTTTCCCCTAACAGATTGGTGAAGATTTTCTCAAAGGTTCCAACTCAGATTTGAGGAAATGGGCCAACACTTGTTATGTGTTAAAAGCCTTAAAATCCATATATCCTTCGATTTGGCAATGCCGTTTCTAGTGTTTTCTCTTAAGGAACTGATCCTGTTCGTGTGGCGGGGGTTTCGCTGTAAGAGTACTCTTCATGGTGATGCTTCTGATAAAACCTGAGGAGTAGCCAAGTGTCTAACAACTAGGGCTTGATTAAGTCAGTAGTGCCACATCCTAAACATTTCTTAGACATTTTGTATTCATTAGCTCACTTAACCCTCACAGTACTATACGAAGTAGGCCTCTTATCTTGGCAATTTTACAGATCAAATAACTGAGCCATGAAGAAGGCAGGTAACTCCAGCAAGATGATCTAGATGGCTAATAGTGGAGACAGGATGTCCACCTGGGTAGTCAGTCTCTCCAGAGCCCACACATTCTTGACCCATATGCTCCACTGCCTTTTGTAACAGACATGTGAAGTAGAAAATATGTATTAGGTGGAATGTGGAATAATATCCCATTTCTGTTTAAAATATCAAACTTCCTGAACATATATGACATGACTTTTATAGTTGGAAGAATTTTGCTTAAAAAATCTATTTTTTTTATATTTAGCCAAACTCTGATTTTCTGTTGCCTTTACCCATTTTAGAACTCATTCATTGGGGCGCCTGGGTGGCTCAGTCGTTAAGCGTCTGCCTTCTGCTCGGGTCATGATCCCAGGGTCCTGGGATCAAGCCCCGCATCGGGCTCCCTGCTCTGCGGGAAGCCTGCTTCTCCCTCTCCCACTCCCCCTGCTTGTGTTCCCTCTCTCGCTGTGTCTTTCTCTGTCAAATAAATAGAATCTTAAAAAAAAAAAAAAAAAAAAAGAACTCATTCATTGACCAAATTTTCATTGAGCTCCTCCAATAAGCCAGGCATGGTGACAGCTATTTTAGATCTGCAGGGTCGAAAACTGGCCAGGCCTAGCTGGTATAGAACTTCCGTGCTGGGGGCGGGGGAGACCAGTGAGAAACAAGTTAACAGACGTCAAGGGCTGCCATTTATTGAAGCTAACTGTGTGCATGTGGCATTAATCCTCAAGGTCACCCAGTCAGTAGGCAGTGGGGGTAGGATTCATCTCTGGCAGGGGCTCCCTAGCCTAAGCTTCTTACTTCTCCAACTTCTCCTACTAACTCATTATAGTCCAACCACATAGGCCTTTCTTGCCTCAGGACCTTTGCATTTGACATCCTGTCTGCCCAAAACACTCACTCTCCCGTTAGATCTTTGCATGGTGGCCTCCTCATCATGTAGCTCACAGAGGCCTTCGCTGAGTTCCCAGTCTAGGGTGGCCTGTCCCATCACCTCCACGGTCATTCTTCATCACTTTTATCACATTGCCTTGTTTTATTTTCTTGGTGGCCATTATTACTATCTGACATTACCTGACTTTGTTTCACCCGCTGGATTGTTAGCCCCGTGGGAAACATATTCCTTTGTCCTTTTGTTCACTCTGCTATCCCAATACTTAACACAGTTCCCAGCCCATAATGGGTGCTATTGCAGATGGGGGAAGTCAATCAATGAAGGTATGATGAGCACATCGCCTTAGAACAGTGGTCTCCAAAGTGAGACATGTGTGTTCAGAGGCCGTGGAAAGTGAGATGATCCACTGGAGGGCCAGAAGAAAATAAGGCAGACAGATGGACACATAGATACACAGATGGGCATGTATGCCTATATCATCCTTTCTATTTTTATGAGTAACAGAGTATGAATACACTTTAGAGATAAGTATACCCATATGCAGGTATACTCAAATGTTTGCTGCTAGGGCACCTTACCAAAAAACCCTGTGGATCATTGGCCTAGAAGGAGAGACATATGAGGAAACAAGGCATTCCAATGTGGTGTCACAAATGCTCTTGACAGAGTGAGCACAGAATGCCATCAAAGCATATAGAGGGTCATCTAACCTGCTTTGGGGGGGTTGAATAATTGTGAAAACTTATATTTGTTTCTTACTGTTTTGTTAATATTAGTAATTATTGTTTTTAAAATCATCCAGAAATACACAAGCTTTTATTTTTAGACCATTAAAGCAACGTAAGTGACCATAACCCTTATGGTAATTTTCCTAATAAACGGTGAAAGAGAGAGCACTTCAGATTTTACAGTTGACTAGTTAGAGAGGTTAATTTCTGAAGAGTTCAAATATGGCTGTTAATGACCTGTGGTTAAATATCCAACTTGTCCTTGCTTTCTGGGCTGCAAAATTAATCTGAGAAATAGAAAAATAAACATGTCTTTAACTTTGGTCTTCTAGCTAGAGAAGCCATGGGGCAGAGCGGTGGAGGAACTTGGGCTCTGGAGTCTGGTAAATTTGGGCTTGATTCTCACTCTCTCCTCTTTCTTTCTGCCCGACTTTGAGCAAGCCCCTTTTCTTGGATCCCTCATCTACAAAATGGGCAAATGAATACCTGCCTCGGGGCCATCATGCTGGAAAGATGAAACAGAACAAGGAGCATGAAAGGCCCAGCTCTCGGCGCCTGGTGGGTCTTGCTGAACATCAGTCCCTCCCGAGGTCCTCTGTTTAGAGAGACAACCCCATGTGGTTAGAAAGCACGTAAGCAGACATCCTTCAGAATACCATCAAGAACATGCTTTTTCTTTTTTGTACTTGATTAAACGGAGTCATGCTCGAACAGATTCTTCTTTAAGTCATTTACATCGATTTCCCATAGACCACAGCCATCCTTTCTGAGGTTGTATTGACCCTTGACATTTTGCTGGTGATACTATCAGGCTATAACCCTCCTTTCCTTTCTGGGCTCGGGCTCGAACGACACTGTAGCTGGATTTCTGTACTCCGATTACCTCTTGTCTTGGGAGCACTGAGGGTTGCAGTTGGGTTGAAGCAGAGTAAACAGAGAAGCCAGGACCTGGGCCCGGGAACCTCTGGCTTCCCGGGAGTGAGGCCTCTTGTGGAGTCGGGGAGGAGGGGTGGGTGGCCTGTCTGTGGGAGAGGAATTGGAAGGAGAAGGCGGAACGCAGCAGACTCCTTGGCATGCACCGCAGAAGGATTCCCTGAAGGGCTGCGCAGAAAAGAAATGTGCCGTGTACTTGGCAGGCCAGAAACCAGAAATGCTTTTTGAGGATTTGGGAGCAGAAAAGCAGACCCCCTAGGTGGTTATTTATAGAGCCGGCAACAGTAATGATCAGTTAGGAAAAATAAATTATAACTCAGTTGAACCTGAAATAACTTTTCTTTTGCAACCCCAGGCATTCCACACAGGCTGCTTGCACACCACTCCCGCCTCACAGTGTTCCTGGAGGCTGAGGGCCCACGCCAGGCTTGCTTGTGTCCTCCCCGAAGCTTCAGAGCCCTCCACAAGGCAGCGGGGGGGGGGGGGGAGAGAGAGAGAGAGTTAGTTTCTGGCTAGAAAAAAAGAATTTGGGCTGGATGACTCCTTTCTTTCTCCCCTGCACCCCCACATGGCAAAACCATTCCTTCTTTCCTCCCTCAACACGTCTGTAACATGCAGCAGAAGGTGGGCCTTGTTGGGAATGTGGAATCCGAGGCACGCGGAGCCTCCACTTTCACACGCCGTGTTCACGTGAGTGTATGCACATCGGCTTGTTTTCAGCGTCTGTGTTTTGGCTGCAGCAGAAACTTCTGAGAAGCTGGTTGCCGACTCCGAGTTCACAGGGCCCCCGGTGTTTCATCCCCCCTCCGCCCGCAAGCAAGACCACCGTGCTGTTCACGCTGACAGCTTGGCAGTGGGGTCACTGTGAGTTGCCCGACCCACCACTTGGCATCTTGGCGCATGGGCATCCATCCTGGTTTCCCCTCTCCCACCCATCTGTTCCTTCTTTTCTCTTCATTCATTCGTTCGTTCAGTTGCTTTTCAACCAGCAAGCGTTTGCTGAGTATCGACGAGGCAGAAATAAACCTAGAGACTACAAACTGGTGGCACTTGAGCCAGTCTGGCCTGCAGATGCATTTTATTTGGCTCACAGCATGGTGTCTTAAATTTGAATTTGCTGCTGACACATAAAGATGGGGTGATTTCACATGAGAATGCTGATACCAGGCTTCTCCCTCTAGAATCTGAAGTCCTGGCAATGTCGGCTCTCATTTCCATGCAGTAGTATTTTCCATAAGGGCAGCTGCCTCCTTTAGGTAAGGCCGGCCCCTCTGATTCAGATCCTGAGACTCTCAAGTGTCTGGTTGCCACCAAGACAACCACCTTCGAGGTCCCATACACAAGCTCTTTCACCTGCTACGTGACCTGCGTGGCCCCATGTGCCTTTGAATCTGTGACCCCTGATGCAGACCCTAATGTGAGGGATGTCGTGGTCCAGTGGAAGAGACGGACAGGTGATTTTAGTTCCTGAAGAGTGCCATGAGGGCAGTGTACTTCGGGAGCATGGGGAGGAAGAGACTGATATTGAGGAAAAGAGTCAGGTCTTCATGGAGAAGGTGACTTTGGAACCAGGTGTTGAAAAGGCAGGGAGAACATGCCACCATGAAGCTGTGAAGGGCACCCGGACAAAGAGCTAAGTCTGTATAGAAGCTCAGAGCGGGGAACGAGCCAGGAAGCCCAGTGCGATGGGGTGAGCGAACACGAGCAGAGGTGGGAGGGAGGCTGTTCTCTCTTCAGTGAGACGCCGTGTGGTCAGCTCTGCCCCACCCCAAGCCAGAGACCCTGGGGCCCTTCACACCCACTTCCAGCTAGAGGGTGCCCTTCTTCCAGTGTCTGCGCCAGATAGCAGGGTGGGCCTGTGAGCGAGTCCCAGACCTGTCTGCCAAGATGTCCCTTGAATAGCAGAGTCCTACTGTCCCTCCCCACCCTAGCCCAGAACCCAGGGGGAGGAGGACGACAGAAGGAAAAGGAGAGAATAAAGCAGGTCTGTCTCCACCCTCAGAGGACGATGGGTGGCCCTGAGCACCGGTCTAGTGAGTGGACAGGCTGAATAAGTCTCCATGGTCCCCCTCCCTCTCTAGCATCTTTCTCTCTGCATCCCTTGAAAGCCAGCAATCCTCAACACATGAATTCCGCTGGTCCTCTCCCTGGTGCGCTCACACTTTTGTTATCATTTATAGGCTGGTATCTCCCCAACTGGCATCGTCAACCAACTCAGAGCTGAGGGGCGGCGGGCGGGGGTGGAGAACCTGTAGCTTCTGGATGATTCACAATCTTGGAGAGGCATAGGTACCTCAGACGCTCCCAGCTTCCATCCCTTTCATACCTGGAACTCCCTTTCCTGCCCTTTCTCCACGTTGGACTCCTTCCATTCATTAAGCCCTTTGATACTTGAGGACGTGCCCCTGAAGCTTATCAGATTCAAGCAATTACCAGCACCCATCACCTCATACCATTGCCAGAAATGAAAGAACTTGCCCGTGATCCAGACACCCTGATCAGTGCAGCATTTAGGAGCCAGAAAAGAACTTTGCTACTGAAGACCTAATGTAGCCCCTCGCCTTGGTCCCCACGTGCCCCAGCCTGTGTGTTTCTTTTTCTGGCAGTGAACAGAGCCTTCCATGGCGGTTGTGATGAGTTCTGTGCCCTCGGACAGAGCGGATGGCGCTCAAGGGCAGGGGCTGGTTGCCGTGCTTGTCTTCCCCCAAATGCGGTGTGCCGCTGCCTAAACACTGTGCCCAGCTGTGTGTGGTTAGTAGCCAGTTACACGACTGAATTGAACTCTCGATAGAAGGGATGAGAAGTGACCCTTTGCGTGCAGACCTGTCATTAAGGTTATCACTTAACGAAGAGTGGAGACAGTGTCCAGTGGAGCCCGGAGTGACTGGGTCAGAGGAGGGGACATCTGTAACGTCAAGGCAGCTTTTGGCCAAGAGACTCTTTGTCTGGAGCATTAAAAGTTGGTGAATGGGAAACTGGTTAATGCAGGGTTGGTCAGGAGACCCGTGGGGGAAAGGAAGGACTGTAGCCCCACCCCCACCCCCTGTTGGGACATTAGGAAGCCAGAGCCTGGTGATAAGACAGAACCTTGGCTTCTCTAAAGTCCCCATCTCTGGGACTCTGGGTTATCCAGAGAATTTTGGCCAGAAGTTGAGGGATTTTGGCCAGTTTTCTACCACTTGCCCTGGTTCAGTTCCACTGACGGTTTTCTCCATGCTCTTCTGTGGCTTCCCACAGTGGTCTTCTCCTGGCTTCCTTCTGCCTGTGCCATCTGTGGCTGTTGCTCTGGCCGTGACGCTGCGGGCGGCTCTGAGTGGCCAGTGTCAGTGCCCCAGGTTTGCTGTCACCGGCCTGGGGGCTTCCACGCAGCAGCCTGGGAACTGGGCGGAGTAGAGAGAACTAAGAGAGGTGGCAGAGCAGGACTGGGTAGAGATGCACATCCTGAGACATTTCACAGATCTGGATCCCCCCAGAGACGACATGGTCTTAGTATTAATAATTCAATAGCAAGTTATAGTCTCTTACTATTTAGAGAGTTTCCATAGTGCTAACTTCCTTGATCCACACAAGTACCCTATGCCTAGAGTATTTCATCATCCCCATTTTACAGATGAGGAAACTGAGGCTCAGAGAGATTTAAATGACTTGTCTAGGGTTTGAAACCAAATCTCTTGACTCTGAAACATCTCATCATTCCACTATAGGATTTGCCTCCCGCATCCTATAACCAGGTAGACCTGACCCACCAGTACCCTCTCTGTGTGAAAGGGCACAGAGCTGGGGAGAGATTCAGCACCATCCCCAATCCCTGGAACTTCCTGTCTGCTCTCTCCTGTCATTGAGAATGCCAGCCTAAGGTTCGTTTTCTCTTTCCTCATCGTGTAAAGCACAAGGAATCCAACTCCTATTGTTGAAAGGGTGAGAAGTTCAGAAGGAAAGTCTCGAATTCCATTGGGAACCATGTTGGAAGAAGATGCTCTGTTTTGTTCTTTGGTACATTCATTTATTCGTCCACCAGATGTGTGTAGAGTCTGCTACATGCCGGGCACTGTTCTAGATGCTGGAGTTACTGTGGTGAACAAGACAGGCTAAGTCCTGTCCTCTTGGAGCTCACGTCCTAATGCCGGGTGGTTATAAGCAAGTAAATGATGAACAAAATGTTTCAGGTGGTGCTAGGGGCTATACAGAAAATGCAGAAGGGTGATGGGACAGAAAGTAACTGGCAGATGCAGGGAGTGAGATCTTCTTGGGTTGCTGCTCACAAGAGACTCTTGAGGAGGAAGCACACAAGCTAAGGTGTGGGTAACAGAAGGAGCCTGACATGAGAAAACCGGGGGCAGCAGCTTTCCAGGAGGAGGGACCAGGAAGGGCAAAGGTCTAAGTGGAAACTCAGAAGGAGATTTTAAGGAAATAATATTCATGATGACGTTTGATGATATGGACTGTCCTCACTGTGGTTCAGCAACACTGTGCCTGGTGGGGGGACTGATCCTGGGAACCTACACACGTGTAATGGGATTTCTGCGAGAAAACCAATTCCGAGTTCTAGGCAGTGGATTCACAGCTGAACTTGGAGTGTCAGGAACTACTTCCATCACGGGCTTACTAAGAACTGCCCATGGCATAGAATGAGGGCTTTGGCGTGAAGGACAGACAGGAAGAAAAAGCCTACATTTGCCGATTGCAGAAACTCTTGAGCCTTGTGACTCTCGTAATGGCAAAAGTCAGGAGGTTTTCTAAGATTCCATAGTCATGATTTTAAATAGTGCTGTTGGGGTTTCTGGTCTGGGTTCTGCTATTGATTATCTGTGTTTCATTGTTTCTTGGAACAAGTCACCTACCCTCCCTAAACTTGGTACTATTGCATTACGTGACCAGGTTAGAGCAAATGGATTCTAGGGAGCTTCTTATTCTTTTTCTGTTAATGCCTTCAAATGCCTGCATTCGTCAACAGTGAGTTTTCTTTGTGTTGTAGCCTTTTCTGTGCCTCTGCTTTGGGTGAGATTTGAGTGCTAAGTGAAAGTGAGTCATTTGGAATGGTAGCGGCTCCTTAACATGATAGGTGCTACTAAGAACCTCTCTTGGCGTAGACCAGTTGTTCCCTAAGTATAGTTTCCAGACCAGCACCAGCAGTAGCACTTGTTAGAAATTGTTAGAAATTCAAATCCTCAGCCTCTCCCCCAGAAACCTTGGGGATGTCACCAAAAAATCCATGTTTCAACAAGGCCTCCAGGTGACTTTGCACACCGAAGTTTGAGAACCACTGGTGTAGAGTATGTGCTTTAAGATTTGGGGACTACCAGTGATGGGTTCTTGTATTTCAGTTATTCTTGTGGTCACAAGAAATGGTTATATTTGTAAGATGCTTATCCGCCTTGGCTCAATGAGCCGTCTCATGGCTGTAGAGCAGAAGGAGAGCTCCTGGCCCATGTTGGGATCGGGGCCCAACTCATCAAATCCCCGTCCACGACCCCAGGGGAGCAGCTTAGAGGAGAGCATTAGCAAGGGGGCATGTTCATCCTAGAGGAAGCCTTGAGGGAGGGCACTCCTGGATGTGCTTCTGCGGAGGCTGGTTTGAGTAGAGCAGGGTGTTGATTATGGTTAATGTTCACATTTTTTAAAAGTATGGAACTGTTCTGACTTTATACATGTTTGGCAGATAGATCTGCTTGCATCTGTGTTGTGAAGATCAATGGTGTTGAAAGGTCTTGGGTCCCAAATAAAAAGTAATCTGGTGACCGTGCTGTACAGTGAATTTAGACTCCTGACCCAGTTTGGTCTCTTGCCTAAATGTCCACTTATAAATCTAGAATGAGGTGACCAGATGGTCCAAATCACCCAGGACTGTCCCGTGTTTCCCCTTCCTGTCCCTCTCAGTCTGGTGTCTCGGATTTGGCCCTGCGTTGCCCACTCCTGCTGGATCTTGTCCAGGCGAGGGACAAAAACGTCCTGGCACCTTCCTGAAGAATGGGAAGAAAGGAGATTCTGGAAGCACAGACTGAACCGCCGTGCCAGAGGCCGAGGAAGCGGATGCCTGAAGGGAGTGCTCCCACACCCACAGGAGCCCCGAGGACAGCTGGTGCTGGAGGCGTGCAGGCCCAAGAAGGGGAGAAGTAAGTCCATTTCTCTGGTAGGGCTTAGAGGAGGGTTAGTAGTGGTAGGGGTCGGGAGGTGGGGCTGGGATGGCCCCTCCTGGGCCAGAAGGCAAAGGCTGGGAGGCAGATGGGCCACGCAGGAGGTGACAAGGGCACGGCGAGGAACATGAGTGCTTCAGCCCAAGCTGGCCTGGCCTCTCTGCTCACGCCTTCTGCCCCCTTTCCGAATTCTTTCATCTCTGTGCATCCCGGCTCCTTCCTGTCATTCTCTCAGCCCCGCCTCCCTTGTTAACCCCTGCGCTGCTTCTCCCCCCAAGCTCCTGCTGTGTCCCGCCCACTGTCCCCTCCCCACTGCTTGCCTCGTTTCTGTCCATTATTGACATGATGACGACCGGAGAATGATAGGGTCCAATTGTGATAAGTGCTCTCCCTGTTCACAGATGCCAGCAGTGACCTCGAGCCACCCACAGCTGTTCCCGAGCAGTCCGCCCAGGACCACCGAATGGAGGACACACAGCGGATCTCGCTCACTTGGCGACTGAAGAAGCTGGAACAAAGGCCACAGAGGCTGAAGAAGCAGCAGGGGTCCGGAAGCTTTCAGAATAACCCTGAGAAAATCGTCTACTGAATTACAACCAGTTTTGCTGACAAAAGTTGTGAGAAGAGCCCCCCACCGGCTCCCATCGTACTTGGATGCCATTCCTCATGGACTTTGAAGAGCTCACCTCTGCCTTCCCAAGCAGGTCGCTCCCGTTTCGGCTCTGGGAGCTCTGGTTAACCTTCTTGATGAGAAAATGTTAACTTTTTTTCTGAGTCCTGGATTAAACGGTCCTACCTGAAACTGGGTCATTTGAGGCTAGAAGCACCTCGAAACATTGCTGTTTCTCAGAAGTTGCCAAGTTCATGGCACACTTGTTTCCTATGTGACCAGGGGTCCACTTCTGACAGATGCTACCTGGCCTCGTCAGTATGTCTCCTGGTAGGCTCCTTGGTGCTTTTCTTCCCCTCCCCGCCCCCAATGCCCTGCCCCAGGTGAGACTCACTGAGTGGGGGACCCTGCCTCTCCTGGTGAGGACCATGTCTGTGGTGGCAATGCTGTGGCTGGATGTGTGAGAGAAAGTCTGGTCTGGTGGAACCAAAGGTTTTGTAAGTTTGAGGGTCATAGGAACATGGCTCCATCCCTGGTAGCTTTCGAGGAGGCCTGCCCGCCCCTCAGCCCTTCCCCTGGCTCCACCCTAACCCTTCCTCTCACCTATTCCAGGATAGTGTTCTTTTCTTGATTTAGTTAAAAGTAACGTGGGTTGTTTCTTTCATTATTAAAGCAGCACATCCTTATTATAAAAACATCAGACAGAGAGATAAAAAAAAAAAAAAAGAAAAAAAAACCAACCCCAAATCCTACTTACCCCAAAGACAACCATTGAGATTCTGTGGAAGAGCCTTTCATATATATATGATGCTATACATACCCACCTGCACGCACATATATAAATATACATACACACATATGTATAATTATATATATGAATGTAACTGCAGTGTCACAATGCCACATATATTCTTTGATAACACACATTGTCATTTAATGCCTTATCATGAGCATTAGCTTTCTATATCAACAAGCTTTTTTTTTTAAATGATTAAGTAATGCCTTTAATTACAGAAGAGACGACCGAGACCAGAAATATAAAACGATTTTCAAAAAATGAGGGCGCTAAGTCATTTAGTATAAGGGAACAAAGCCAAGTGGATACAACTCAGAGAATATACATCCCCATTTTTTTTTTTTTTGCCATGAGTTGCATGAGTCTATAGCAATTGTAGTGTAAGAGTACTCAATTATGGAGATAGACCATCATTTATTTACCTAATTTCGTGTTGCTTGATGTTTAGGTTGTTTCCAATTTTTCTCTGTTTTAGGCAGCATTAATAATAATGAACATGGTTCTAGTTAATCTTCATACAATTATTTCCTTAAGTAAATCCCCAGAAGGAGATCAAAGGACAATTAGTGAAGGTTGCAAAGACCTTGAAGTTTGGAGCCTGCATTAATTGCTTGGCACCCAAGTGCATTAGAGCCTGGGCCATTGGGAAGGCTGCATGTGCCCTTTCTTTGATGACTTTATATATCCACACTTGGGTAGCTCTGGCCTCCTTTCCCTTGCCCAGAACAGAGCATACCCATGAATGACAGCTGAGTTAAGCAGATGGCGAATGAGGGAGTGGTGTCTCTCTGCGTTTGGTATTGGGGTATATCTCATGGTTCCTCATTGGATGCTGCGAAATAGCCATTCATTCATTACCCATTTATGGAGCAGTCACTGTTGCAAGGTGCCACGCTGGAGGCTGAGAAGGCAAGGGTGAATTAAACAGGGGCTCCATCCTCGGGAAGATCCACAGCCTAGAGAAGGCCAATGACTAATAACACATACTTACGCTATAGCATAGCAAGAGGAAAGATGTAAGTTTGCTTGTACACCTCAGGGCAGAAAATTTGGAACCATCCAAAAGTCTCAAAGGAAAAACAGGAAACCACACGTAATCCACTGGCCCATTCATGACAGTTGTCCTTTTTTAGTGTGTCCTTTAGGCAGTGACACGTGCCTGTGGTCATCCTCACTGGATAGCACCTCCTCGAAGGCATTGTCTGTGTGCTTCCAGTGACCCCGGCACCAGCTTATCCAACGTATTCTGAAATCTGTTAAGTCTGAAATCCAAATGGGAAGAAACAAAATTAAAGGTAAAGGGATTCATGACTTAAAGTGTCAATGTTTTATGTATGTAGGGAAACTTGCATTAATTCATGTCCTTCTGCTTGATGAAAACGTTTTCAAATATTTCATTATGAAAATAACGATCTCATTTAAGAAAATATGGAAACTAGAGAAAAGGAGAACTGTGCTCCTATTTTAGCATCCTACCCCAGGGCTGGTAGCATTTCAGACTTTTACCCAGAAAAATTTGTATTAAGATGGTGTTGAGGACAAGAGCAGAGGCATATGGGAGTTTTGTGAGTTTTTTCCCAATTTTTATTTTTAACTAAACATGTTTAATGGTTGATTATATTCACTTTGTTCAAAATTTAAATAGTACAAAAGCATAGAGACTGGAAGTCTTTATGGCTCAGCCATCTAGTTCCCTGGAGATACACAGTGGCATCAGTTTCTTGTGAATCCTTCTAGAGTTTTTCATGCATATAAAACAAGGTATGTATATAAAATATGAGTTTTTAATGGAGGGCTTGGCAATATTATTACTGAATGTTCTAGGTTTAGCCTAAACTATCCTTGATGTTAGTGGCAGGCCTGGGCTACAGGTGGAAGAGAAGAGAGAAAAGGGCAAAAGGGTGTGTGTGTATGTGTGTGTGTGTTTGCGTGCACATGTGTGAAGGGGAGTAGGTGGTTGTTGCTAAAGGAGATGGTGCAGGGGGAGGATGAGAAACAAAGGGGAAGAACAACCATCCATTCATTCATTTATCCAACCAGTATTTATTGAGCAGCTATTATGTGCCAGGATACTATTCTAGACCCTGGAGAATCAGGAGTGAACCAAGTAAAAATTCCTTGTCCTCATGGATATTGTTTGAAAATGGAAGGTAGTAGACCATAAACATAATAACTAAGTAAATTATTGTCTGTTAGAATGTGGTAAGTACTATGGAAAAAAGTAAGTAGGATGTTGGAGATAGGGAGTCTCAGGAAATAATTTTAAGATGAGTGGTCAGGGTAGGCTTCATTGAGAAGGGGACATATAAGTGAAGACTTGAAGGAGGTAGGAGAGTGGACCCTGTGGATATTTGGGGAAGGAGCATCCACAGAGGGCGAGAAGGCAGTGCAAAGGCCCTGTGGTAGCAGTGTGAGGCCTGGAGGCTGTCAGCAGCCACCCCTCTGCCCCCACCCCTGCCGAGTCTATTCTTGGTGATGTCTTCACTAAGGCTGGCTTTCCTCAGGTCGTGAAGAAGCCAGGGTCAGGTTGGTGTGTTCTTTCTAAACAGCTGAGATATTCTACACTAACGTTAGTTTTTCCTTTCTCTGAATTTTGATCTGAATGTTTTATTTTATTCCTTCCAAGGATAATTCTGTGGTTTGGATGTTAATTTAGTCCAACTAAGGAAAAGTTGGGGGTGGGGAGAAGTAGTATTGTTGTAATAGAAACAGCAAGATTGAGGCACTCAGGGGTCCTCAACCTGAAACCAATCCTGCCCCTTATTTTCCAGCCTTTTGTACTGGGCACATTATTCATCTTTGCTGGTCCTCGGTTTCCTCATGTAGAAGTTGAAGCGGGTGTACTTAGACGCCTTAGGGCTGTGCTCGGACTGTGTCAGCAGGCTAAGATAAGAAGTGGTGTCGGGTGATGTGTAGTAATACTGTGAGGGAGGCAGGGGAGATTCGGCCCGCAGACGACTCTGTGCACATGCTAATACGTGCTGCCACCCGGTTTTCCCTCTTGGACTAGCCGAGCTCAGCTTCGCCCTTGCAATAGAATATTCCATCTGAGGAAGTCCCCAATCCCTGATGATAACAGAGGAGACATGGCCACACTGCTAGTTGCATTCCTTTCCCTGTTTCCTTTAAGCCCTGGAAGGGTTGGTTTCCCCCATGCCCCAGAGCCACCCTGACTCTCAGCCTGTGTGGATAGGGCTGCGGTGGGATCTGGGGCTCCTTCTTTTGTTCTCTTTTGGCTTCGGAGCTTCCCTCCCCTCTTTGCTATCATGAGTGTGTGCCTGGAGTCTTTCATCTGCCCTGGTAAGTTAGGCAGTGGGGAGGAGAGGGAGTGTTGCTCCATGCGGAGCAAAATCATTGTGAATTTAAAAATTCGGAGTGCGCGTAAGAGGCTGTGGGGGCAGAGCTGGAGCCTTTAGTGAGTTCATGTAGGAGGAAAATGCTAAACACGATAAAAGGCTTTTCTCTTTCACTCTTAAAGTGTGAGTCACCTTGGTTGTAACTACTTGCTTGCCCATTTCTCTGTTGCCCCCGGTTTTCCTTCAACTGCCCGTCTTCTGCGTCCTTAGCTGCTGTTCAGCGGGGTGGGGGGAGACTGAAGAGTGGCTTCTTCCCTTAGTGGAGTTCTGTTGCTTTGTTTTTCTGATGGGGGCATTGTGTGCCCTCAGCATGGCGGGAAAAATATCCATACTCGTGCACCTGCAGCTGAAAATGGATTCTGAGAGGCTTAATTTGCTGAAATCAACTTCTGAGTTACGTGATTTTCCCAATCCCTTTTTAAATACATACTGTATACAAAAATCCCTCTATTACTTTTTACATTTCATGTGATGCCCTTTGTCTCCATCAACTGTTGTGGAGAGAAATTTTATTTGGAATATTCATAACAAGTCTATCGCTAATTATCACTTTAACAATGTGTTATGGAGTGTATCCATGCAGTCATCTGGAAAGGCACATATGCCACGAAATTTGGGATTTGCTGTGTACTGTGTGTGCCCACTCTTAGTGTTTCATCAGATCTTTGCTCTGGGAGGAGGTAGAGGTGCTTTGTAAGGGAGGATGGAGGACTGACCTTGTAGCTGAACGCACGCATCCTTCAGTCCTGTCCTCGTAGCAACAATTTCCAGGCTCAGCCGCTTTGGAGTGTAAGAAAACCCTTCATGTGAAACAAAACCGGTCCGCACAGCGAAGCCCCGTTCTGGAAAGCTACAGAGATGGGATCTGAGGTCACCCCCGGCCTGCGCCAGGTGGACAGATTCCAGACGGAGATCTAATCACAGGCAAAGAAGAGGCCG